CTTTCCGGACCTGTGCCCATTCCAGTCACCTCGCTGTGCTGCGTGGCCAACAGCTCCTTCGGGCCTGGCGCACATGAAGACAGCGGCCGAATGAAAGTCAAAGCTGTGGCCAGGGTGGTTGCCAGTCGCATGCGATGGATTCTGGATTGCATTGCGGATTTGGGACGTGCCTCTAGTCGAGAAATCACTGCCTGGAGAGCGATGTGGCCGAGAGAGATGGCAGCAGAATCGCAGGTCTCGCCGCTGAGTCGACCTGGTGATCCACGTCTGCCTGCTGTCTTCTTCCACGGCAGATGTGTGCACCCACCACGGTTTTCAGTTGCTACGGTGCTTTTAAGTTCGAATCAGATACCATCAGAGGGACAATCTACCCCTTTGCTCTGACGCCACTGTGACTTTGTAAGCGCCATCGCTTCCCAGTTTGTGTGTTGACTTTCCGTTAGCCAGCGGTTGCAGCATAGTGCAGAAACGCTGCACTCAGTCAGGCATTTGCCGTGCTTTCGGCACACCCTTCGAGATGTCGTCGGGAAGCATGGTCATCACGAGAAGTTCGAATGTGAAGTTGTGGAGTGTAGACCACCTTGAGCACCCAAGGCGAATCAGACTCGTTTTCCTCGGCACAAACTGAACGATGCCGTGATCTGTAGCTTCAGTTGATCAGAGTGGGGTCACCTCAACCAGCCGTAAGACCCCGCTGATTTGCAGGGTTCCCGCAGCGCTGCATTGTCAGTGAGGGAGCAACGGGAGCATGAGAACGCTATGGCAAGCTCGCACTTCCGCCAGCATGGGCCAAAGGCAACAGCGCGCTGGTCTGCAGGCACCCAGGTCTGACGTGCAGTCGGAGGCACAGCTTGTCTGGGCTTTTCTCAAAGCTCCTTCCTGCATGGTGGAGCCAATCTGCAATCAATGATGTGACCTTGTGAGCTTGTCGCATCGTGTCGAAAGACATCCCGAGGAAGAAAGGTTCATTCGCTGCCATGCAGTATACCGGGCACAAAGAAATGTAAAGTCGTGGCCGAGGAGCACCGTCAAGGAGAGCCCGGGGCGGCGCTGTCACTGCTAGCGTAGGCCGCTAGGCCAGCGGCGCCGGCGTCTCTGTGCTGCAAAAGCAGGCATCCACCGCTGACAGATTGTCGGATGCACGGCCTCTTTAAGCCTTCCTCACAGTTTTTGGGTCTCCGCGTGCTCGGCAGGCTCGAAGATGGAGCTATAGTCGCAGCTGTAGCCTGTCCAAGCTTTCCCCCGTGTCCTTGTCACTATGATGTTGAATGTTATTGGGCCTGGTGTTTCTCTGGTCAAGCCCACATTGCGGCTCGTCTTCAGCCTTCCGGACTGCCTGCTTGCTCTGGTGCCAGAGCAAGCAGACGGCTGCGCACATTCCAGTTTCTGTCACCTCGGTGTGTTGCGTTGCCAACAGCTCCTTCGGGCCTTGCGCACATGAAGACAGCGGCCGAATGAAAGTCAAAGCTGTGGCCAGGGCGGTTGCCAGTCGCATGCGATGGATTCTGGATTGCATTGCGGATTTGGGACGTGCCTCTAGTCGAGAAATCACTGCCTGGAGAGCGATGTGGCCGAGAGAGATGGCAGTAGAATCGCAGGTCTCGCCACTGAGTCGACCTTGTGATCCACGTCTGCCTGCTGTCTTCTTCAGCTGCTACGCTGTTTTTAAGTTCCAACGAGAGGGGCACTCTGCCCCTCCACTTCGACGCCGCTGTGAGTTTGTGGTTGCCATAGCTTTTCACTTGTTGCGTTGACTTGCCGCTAGCAAACGGTCGCAGCATGGTTCAGAAACACTGCGCTCATTCAGTTTCTTCCGGCACATTCCCTGCATATGGTCGGATGATAGATGATGCCCGGTGAGCAGATCAAGTACGAAGCACTTGCGTGCGAGCGTGCTGGGTTGCGTCC